TTTAAGGTACACAATATGATGTTATGAAATATACATGTACAGTAAAATGGTTACTATGGTGGAACTAATGAACATATCCATCATCTCCCATAGTTACCCATCCATAGCCATGGCATAAGCAGCTATAATCTATTCATTTAGAAAAAAATTGTGAACATAATACGCTACTATTAATTATAGTCTTTATATTGTACATTAGATCTTTCGACTTGTTTGCCCTACATATTTTCTAGTTTGTATCCTTTGATCTACATCTCCCAATTCTCACACTTCCACCACTCCCTAACCTTAGTAACCACTGTTTTATTTTCTATCCACATATTTGGACTTTTTCGAAATCATGCAATCTTTTTCTTTGTGGCTTATTTCACTTAACATAGTGTTCTCCAGGTCCATTCATGTTGTGATAAATGTCAGGATCTCCTTCTTTTTCAAGGATGAATAATATTTGGCCAATAAATGGAGTGTCGCTTACAGGAAAAACCTTTAGGAGCCATTATTTTGTTTACCACCTTTCATTTCTATACACTAGTAAGAACAGAAGCTCATTTCAAGATGAAACCTGTCAACCAGAGTTGTGAAGTAATGAGGATGAGCAGAGCCAGCCATATTCCACCTCTCAGTTTCTTTGGATTTTAGCATATGAGAATATTTTGTTGTTCTAAACCTCCTTTAGGGTTATTTGTTAATGTGGCTGAACCTAGGCCATCCTTTACAGACACCCATGAACCCGTCAGTCCTCACTCCTAGCAGGGTCTCCCTCCAGAACAATTGAGTCTCTGGACATTTAACACTGATAGTGACTAAGAACTTACTATCTTTTGAGATAATGTTCTCCAATTTTAAGCAGTAAAAATTATTAAATATTCTTTGTTTTGAACCAAAACTTACCTTTCTGTAACCTCCACTCAAAAGCTAATTTACATAGTGAGCTTAATTAATGAACAGGCACTTGTTTCAATTTCTTCAGTGACATTCTGGAACTTAGAATTTATTACCTGCCTCAGGAAGTGTTCTGCTAAAACTATTTTCTGAAAAAGCCTAAATCTCAAAAAACAGAACACATTGAATGTAAATTAAACAGCACTCTTGAGCAGAAAATTAAATTGGTTCCATGACATGGGTTTTAAGGAAGCCAACATAATATAAACAGTGCTGCAAGTGACTGATAAACTTGCAAACTCAATTGATACCCTACCTTGGTAATAATCAGTTGGGAAAATTAGAGTAATGTGCATGAGCATATCTTATTCACACACTATTATCTAAAAAGAGGTAGAAAATGTTTTCAAATAATTAATGGCACTTGAATCCAGAAATATCAATATAGCATACACTTTAAAAGCACCCTTCTGTTAGTTTTTGTAGACAGAATGACCTACTCACCATAATTCTAGGTTAAAACTCAAATTTAGTGCTTCAAAGTGGTTCATTATAACAATCATCTATTTTATAACTAGTGCAGAGAAATAAATAACAACCTATTCAGTACAATTTAAAAGACTATATGAAACTGCCATTGCCCCACATCTGTTTCCCAAGAGTCAGTCACATTTTCTTGACTTACAGTATAATTTATTAATTATTTATCTGAGCTTTTTAAAATCAACACAATTTATAGAAAGGCTCAACAGAAAAATAAGAAAAGAAGAATATGATATTCAAAAATGAAGAAATGTAAAAAGACACTGTAAAATATGCTTAAATTCAATGTAAATCAAACAGCAAAATTAAAGCAACAAAATTCTAATTTTCATCTGATAGTGTAACTTTTGTTTTCACTAGCGATATCTATTATTGGTAAAGTTTGGAAAATGCAGCTTTTATTTACTGTTAATCACCATGTAAATGACATACAGAAGGATGGGGATGAATACCAATTATGCCTTCCGATTCAGTAAAAGCAAGCAAATACTAACCTTCTTCCACTAACCTTCCTGCATTAAGACTATCATAAAAATTGTGACTGGCCACCAAGTTCAAGATTTATTCCATTTAATGAAGGGCATGGTAGTGTCAACCAGCTTTTATGTATCACCTCACATAGTCTCTACTTGAACGCTGATTCCAGTCATGGCTACAGTGAACAGTTTTGTACAGGTTTCATTCTACCTTATACCAACTGCCCATATAAATCTCTGATACAAGCTTTTCTACAATGTGCTATCCATTTTATAATCCTTTCTGAATAATTAGTTAGGACATTGTAGGTTTACACGTTATTAGCAGAACTAGAGTAAGAGATAAACATATATCCTCAGGAATAAGGAGGCCTTAGAGTTAATTAAGTTCCTATGTTGATCAATCTCTGAAACTTCTGAGGACAATCAGCTAGAATGTCTGTTGTATTGGTCCAAGAAGGATCAATAAGAACTGTGGAAAATTAGATTAAGGCTATCCAATACAGTAGGATTTGTATATTTTATCCGTTTTCTCCAGGGAAGAACACTCATTTCATAGGCTTTCCTGTTAATCCTGAGAGTTAAACAAAAAAATGGGATAACCAGGGAAGAGGAAAGCCTCTCACCCCTTTGACTGCTTATGTGTCCACTTTTGTCTGTATATTCTTACCACCTTGCCTCCCAAAACCAAAGAGGGTGGAATAACTTTATCTGATTTGTCAGATACTAGGAAACTGATTAGGTCACCATTACTAATGAGCAGTAACTTTGAGATAAAAAATTGTGAACCTCTTGATCCTTCTTCCTCTTTTTACATGAAGGCAAGTTCAGAAAGTGAAGACATCTAGCACATTCTCTCTTGTGGGCAATTGAAATTTAGGCCTTCTTGTTTCTTTGCGTCTGGTGAAAGGCTGGCTGTAAATTTAAGATTTACATTGAGGCACAAGTATGTTTTTTTCTTCCTAAGTTAGGTGCTCCAATTCAGTCTGAGACACCCCTGCATTTCAGATTATATTGACTTGGATAATAAAGCATCATTTCATATCTTATTTAGCATTTTTACATGTTCATGTAGCTTTCTAATGAACCTCTAGGGATTAGCTAGGGAAAAGGCAGAAAAGGTATCCCTAAATAATCGGGACATATTGCCGTTTAATACCACCAGAACTTTAAGTCCAAATATCAAAGACCAGTCTTCTCTATCCCAAAACTAACTTCCCAGTACTTGATACATTGCTAAATAAAATAATAAATTCAAGCACATAGTGCAGTTCAAGTTAGGTGTTCCACTTATATGTTCTCATAGGATCGTCTACTTCCCTGTCATACAACTTCTCACATTGGATTTGTTATTGCCAGTCTCTCTTGCTATTCTGTAAGCTCCAAAAGGGTAAGAACTACCTTTAAGTTACTTTGTATTCCTAGTAATTACCATATTTCCAAGAACAAATTATGCACTCAACTAATAAATTGACATATTATTTGCATAATAACAACATGTAAAATGTTTGGCAGTATCTTGCTGCTATAGCACAATATCATAAACTCCGTGACTTAAACAACAGACATTTATTTCTCACAGTTCTGGAGGCTGGGACATCCATGATAAAGGTATCAGCTTATTTGGCTCCTAGTGAGAGCCCTCTTTCTGGTTTGCAGATCACCATCATCTTGCTGTGTTCTCACCTGGCAAAAACAGAGGGAGGGGTTTTGAGAGAGAGGAGAGAGTGCTTTCTTGTCTCTTCTTATAAGGGCACTAATCCCATTATGAGGACCCCACTCTAATGGTTTCCCCTTGAACTAATTACTTCTCAAAAATGCCATTTCCAAATAGCATCGAGTTGTAGGTTAAGACTTCAACATATAAATTTGGGGGGAGCAAAATTTAGTCCATAGCAGCCAGAGAAGTAAAAGATCTCATAGTACTTGAATTGTATCTGGAATAACATTTATTTTTAAAAAGTATTGTGAGTCTGAGGGTTGACAAGTTTTGGATTTGTACAAAGACTGGTAAAATTATATAACTCTATCATAAAAATAATCACTCTTTGTCAATCTATAAATTCTGAGGAAGATGAAAGAAAATAATTCCCTAAACTGTATTGTTTTGTCAATTTGTTAAAAAATATTTTCCATTTTCAATCCATCATACATGCTATGTTTATTTGCTTTTAGTTTGTCTATTTATTTTTTTAGAGTTTGAGCCATTACCCTAATAGTTGCCCATAAAGAGGTTGTCATAACAGTTGGCTATAAGGGAGTGTTATTTGATTTCACCCTTAGTCCTACATACATTTTAAAACACTAAACCATTTTCCTCACTTTATAGAGGCTGAAAGATGCTTATAATAACAGGATAATATAATGAAGGAAATGAAAACATTAACTCCATTTTTTAAAATCTTGCTTTAGCATAGATGATAATGTGTATTCTGTAAATTCAGGGGAAATTACTTCTTATAGATTTTAGTCATATGAGTCAAGCAAAAGAGAAATAGGACCTTGCTGAGATAGCTTCGGTATCAGCTCAGGGGTCACCTCTAAAAGTATTAAATACTCATTTATACCATAGTAAGCAAACTCCCTTTAAGTGATTCCTCAAAGTGAGCTTAGTATCTTTATTTGACTCAAATATATCTTCATTTGTCTGGATGGTTAATTGGATGATTCACTTCATTTGTTCTTCTATTTCACTGACAATTAACATATATACTTTATATGAATTACTCCTTTTCAACAAAATGGCATTTCACTGTAGGGAACACTGAACACAATTTATATTCTTTAATTACTAAGAAGGCACCTTATCATCTAGTTACATGACTTCAGGGATATCATAGTAAATCTTGAACATCACAGTGATGTATAAATGATGTGTAAGAAACTGATTGAACCTAACCTCTTTTGATTTCAGAAAAAAATCATCAATTTTTTATAGTTTATTAGGTTACAAATTTTACAATATGGTACATAAAATTATTTACAAACACTTTAAATATGGCAATGTCAGTAGCTCATCCATTTCAATCATTAGCTTTTTTTTTTTTACTGTAGAAATTGGCATTATTTAAATCCTTACTGTTTTCTCTCCTTTTTTTCTCAAAGCACTCCAATTAAAACATAGAAACTATGGAAAATTATCTAGTAAACATGCTGATTATGTCCTAAACCTGATCACTTGTCTCAAAATTTAGTATGTGTAAGTTTAAACACGTAATTACACTTTTATTTAAAGTAGTATCACATAGAAAATTAGAAAAACATTCAGGTATTGAACCTATCAAGTGAGTTCTTATTTTAGGAATTTTCTATATAGTTAATTTTCAAAAATTTGTGGAGGAATTGACCAATTTGAGGCTAATTTTTTTTTTTAACCATTGGAAACAGAGAACAGTGATGCCTTCACCTCTTTAACTGAATTTAGCAATTAGATAACAACTGTCTAGTGGTGATGTCTCACCCCACTTTGTCGATTAAAAAAATGTTATTTTTGTAACTTCTATAGTTGAATCAAACATAAAAAGCACAATGCCCACGCAGAAATAGCTGTTTCTTATTTCTTTGATTTCTCCCAACCCAACTTTCCCTGTCAGTAAACTGGTGTTCCCACATGGCACTTCTTCTCTTCCAAAAATCCAACAATTGTGTTCATCAGTCGTTGCCTAATCATCAAGCACCTATATGAAAGTGAACCATCATAGGAATATATTTATTCCATCCCCAGAAACACAAAGCAAGATCTGATTAGAAATTTGTTTTAAACGGTGATTTGTTTTACTCGTTGAAGTCCCCCTCCCTCTGTCTCTGCATGGGGGAATTTCTTCCTCCTTTCTTGCCTATTAAACTCTCCACTCCTTAAAAGCAGTCCATGTGTGTCTGTGTTGTTTTATTTAAATCAGTATAAAACCAAGGACTCTGGTGTTCTTCTAGTCATCAAAGCCATATCATCATGAATTCTTACTCCATCAGCTATTGAAAACAAAGTCAATTGTAGTTGTTGTCTGTGTGTTTTCATTTTAATTTTGGTTTTAGAAAGATAACTTGGAGTTAGATTGCTATTAGCTTTCAAATTCTACTGATTTTGAATCTTGTTGACACAGGGTCTATTATTTGTCAACTCAATATACATTATTACTCTTTGCTTAGTGACTGTTGTTTTAATTGGGATCCCAATGCGTGCAGCAAAAAAGATTTCATTTCCCAGGTTCTCTTACAATTAGGTGTGGCATTAAGACTAAGATGTATGTAGAAGTTACAGGATGAAACTATATTGAAAGTTTCTAAAAGATGGGCAGATGCATGCCCTTGTTGTCCCTTAACCTCCTGTCTTTTTTCTCCTAACAGGAAAGTTAATGGCTGACAATTCAGCGGCCATTCTGAACTGGAAATTGTATGTTAGGGCTATGATAGAAGAAAGAAAGAAATTAGATCTCTATGCCCCCAGGGTATCTCTATACCAGCCTGGAATGCCTATCTCCAAACCTCCTTTACATAAAACAGAAATAGTCTATCACCTTAAAATCTCTGTTACTCTAGATTTTTTCATTATGAGCAGCTAAAATGAATCTTACTTGATACAGCGTGAGTGTTCATGGATTAAGACATTGTTTGATAAGAGGAGAAAGGAAAAAATACAAATTGTACTGGCCCTGACAGACAATGAAGGCTGAAGCCAAATTAATTAAACAGCAAACTCAAACACAAAGAACAAAGTCTTTTTGTTTATTTCATCTCTAACAAGTAAATAACCTAGAAGTAATCACTACCATCCTTACAATAGGAAAAATAAAACTGAAAATGAATGATTTTTCTTCGACCCAGAAGTAAAATCACAAAGCAAACTGCCCTTCTGAAATCTGGAAAGACAAGCAAATTCATTGAGTCACAGCTGTAATTTCCTTAAATGAAGCATAAATCTCTAGAGCCATACATAAATTGATAGGGACACCTAAATGGAAATTTTGACAAATTGTTGAAGACGGAGTGTGGACTAACATGAAAATGAGAGACTCCTGGGGTCCACAGTCTTAGGGATGCCCCCACACTTTCATGGATTTTATCTCCAGAAGCGTTACTGTGTTCTCACTGCCAAGAATCAAGACAGATGACAGGGCTCTGGTAGTAGGAGGAAGAAAAGTAATATTATGAAATTTTTATAGGGCATTCTCCATAACAAAGATCTATTCTCTAGGGGAAAATAATTAACAGAGCTTTTCCCCAGAGCCCTGAGAAAATGGTATTCTTTCCACTTTAGCCTCCTCTAATATTTAGATGAGACAGGCCTCTCATCTAAGGTGGAAGATAAAAGAAAACCTATACAAGAAAAAACACTTATAAAACTTACAGGCCAAAATGTATACCCACTAACAGACTGATAATTAAGTGGAAGATTATATAGGGCTAGTTTCCACATTTTGACATGATCACCAGTACAATAACAATATATTACAGCTGAAAGAACTGCAAGACTCGGACTTTATTTTAGGAATATTTGGGGAATACCAAAGTAAAGAGCAGTTACAAAAATAAGACACTAGGAAAATCTGAAGCATCTGATAACTATAGCTACAGCTAATATTAAACAAAAACTGACTCCTAACTCAATTAACATAAATTCTCACACTAGTAGCCTTCTTATCACAATTCTTATTGCCCAATGCAACACATCTAGCCTTCAAAAAATATTGCATAGCATGCCAAGAGGCAGGAAAAAAGCAATTGGAAAAGAAAAGCATCAGAACCAGACTTAAATATGGTAGTGATGTTGGAAAATAACCATGATTAAAATGGTAAGGGCTGTAATGAAAAAAAAAAATCTACAACATACAAGAACAGATGTTAATGTAAGCAGAGAAATGGAAAATCTAAAGTAAATGCTAGAAGCATAAAAACAAAGATGAAAAATGCTCTTGATGGTCTCATCAGTAGACTGAACAAGGCAGGGAAAGAACAAGTGACCTTGAAGATAAGTCAGTAGAAACTTCCCGTACTAAAATAAAAAAGAAAAACTAATATTAATTTTAAAAAGAATATGCAAGAACTATAGAAAAATATCAAAATATGTGCATATTCAGAATAACAGGAATATGACTTGGAATTTTTTGAAATTAATTACATACAAAACAAACTACAGATACAGAAAGTACAGAGAATACCATTCAGAATAAATACCAAAAGGACTCCACATAAGCATATCATATTTAAACAGCAAAAATACAAAGATTATTAAAAAAAAAAAAGCCTTAAAGCCCAGGGAATGGAGATGAAGGAAGCCATCTTACCTATATATATATATATATATAAAAAAATGATAAGAATTACAGCAGATATCTGATCCAAGACCATGAAAGCAGAAGAGAGTGAAGTGAAATATTTAAAGTGTTGGAAAAAAAAAAAAAAAAAAAAAAAACTCGATTTTTTTTTTTTTTTTGAGATGGAGTCTTTCTTTGTCACCCAGGCTAGAGTGCAGCAGTGCAATCTTGGCTCACTGCAACCTCCACCTCCTGGGTTCAGGTGATTCTCCTGCCTCAGCCTCCTGAATAGCTGAGATTACAGGCGCCTACCACCAAGACCAGCTAATTTTTGTATTTTTAGTAGAGAAGGGGTTTCACCATTTTGGCTAGGCTGGTCTCAAACTCCTGACCTCAGGTGATCTGTCTGCCTTGGTCTCCCAAAGTGCTGGGATTACAGGTGTGAGTCACGGTGCCCAGCCCAACCAACCAATTCTATATCCAGTGAAATTATTCTTCAAAAATAGAGGCATACCACTAAACAACTACTAGGCTGACAAAAATCTGAAACACTGGCAACACTAAATACTGATGAGAAGATGGAGCAACAGAAATTCTCATACATAGCTGGTGGGAATGCAAAATTCTATAGTCACTTACAAAGACTGTTTGGCAGTTTGTTATAAAGCTAAACATTACTATACGATCCAGCAATCACACTCAATGGTATTTGCCCAAATGAGTTGGAAACTACATCCACACAAAAACCTGCAGAAATATTTATAGCAGCTTTATCCATAATTGTCGAAACTTGGAAGCAATGAAGATGTCCTTCAGTAGGTGAATTGATAAACTGTGGTATATACAGGCAACAGAATAGCATTCAGCACTAGATATATACATAGATATGGAAATTATCACTAGCAGACTTTTTCTGCAAAAAATTTTTTCATATTTTCTATAGGCAGAAAGAAAACTGCAAAGTTCAAATATATATATATATATATATATATATATATATATATATATATATAGCCATGAAATGATACAGAGAACCTTAAATGCATACTATCAAGTGAAAGCAGCCAGCCAAACTGAAAAGGCTACATATGGTATGATTCTAATTATGTAACATTCTGGAACAGGGAAATCTATGGCAAAAGGAAAAAGACTGGTGGTTCCCAGGAGTTGTGGGGAGGAAGGAATTAATAGGCAGAGTACTGAGAATTTTTAGGGTGAAAAAATTCAACATGATACCATAATATTGGATATATACCATTATGGATTTACTTCTTATTGCATTGAGCCTATTCTATAGCCTTTGTATTTTTATCACAATGATTTTTCTTCCTCAGTTTGTTGATGTTTTGGATTATATTGGCTGATTTTCAAATGTCAAAATAGTCTTGCATATCCACAATAAATCTCACTTGGTCATGGTGGATAATTCATTTTATACATTATTGGTTTTAATTTGTTAGTTTTTTGTCAAATATTTTTGCATGCATGTGTATTAGACATATTGGTGAGTAGTTCTTCTTTCTTGCAATGTTCTTATCTGGTTTTGGTATTAGGGTAAATCTGGCCTTATAGAATTAAATAGAACAGATTTTCTCGCTTCTGTTTTCTGGAAAACATTGTGGAGAATGGGCATCATTTCTACCTTAAATGTTTGGTAGACTTCATTAGTGAAACCATCTGTGGATGGTGCTTTCTTTTTTGGAAAGTTATAAATTATTGTTTCAATTTCACTAATATATATGAGTCTACTCAGAGTCACACAAGTTTCTGTTTGTGTGAGTTGTGATAGTTTCCGTTTCTTAGGGAATTGATCCATTTTATCTAAGTTATCAAACTTACTGACAGAATGGTTTATACTATTTCTTTATTATCTTTTTAATGCCTTCAGGATCAGTAGGAATGAGTCCTCTTTCAGTTCCATCATAGTAATGTGTAGATTTTGTTTGCTTCTTGAGCAGCCTGGATAGAGGTTTTTTATTTTTTATTTATTTGTTTGTTTGTTTGTTTTTTAATTTTATGGGCTCTTCTTGAAAAATCAGCTTTTGATTTTGTTGATTTTCTCTGTTAATTTCCTGTTTTCACTTTCATTGATTCCCATTCTAATTTTTACTATTAATTTTTTCTGCTTACTTTATACTCAAATTGTTCTTGTTTTTTTTTAGTTCCTAAAGTAGCTTATTGATTTTAGAAATTTCTTCATTTTAAATATATGCATTTAGTGCTATAAATATCCCTCTAAACCCTGCTTTTGCTACATCCCACAAATTTGGATAAGTTGAATTTTCATTTCATTTACTTCAAAATATTATGAACTTCCTCTTGACACTTTATATTTGACTCACGTGTTATTTATAAGTGTGTTGTTCAATCTACAGATATTTGCAGATTATCCAGGTCTTTCTGATATTCATTTCTAGCTTAGTTCCCTTATAATATAAGAACACAGTTTGTATAGTATCTATTTTTTTAAATTTGTTCAGGTGTGTTTTATGGCCCAGAAAATGATCAATGTTGGTGAATGTTCCAGGAAGCTTACGAAGAACATGTATTCTCTTGATATTGGATGGAGAAATCTATAAATATTAATTTTCCCTCTTTTATTGATAGTCCTGTTAAGTCAACTATATTCTTGTTGATATTCTGCATGCTTAATCTATTAATATTGAGAGAGAGGTACTGATTTCTAACTATAATAGTGAATTCATCTATTTCTTCTTGAAGTTTTGTCAGCTTTTTCTTCATACATTTTGATGCTCCATTATTAGGTGCATACACATTAAGTATTGTTATATCTTCCTAGAGAATTGACCTCTTTATAACTATACAATTTCCCTCTTTATCCCTGATAATTTTCCTTATTCGGAAGTCTGATTTGTCTGAAATTAACATCAGAACATTATCTTACTTTTCCTTAATGGTATCATGTTAATTGATATAGCTGGATTAATATATACCATGTTTGTTATTTTCTGTGTTACACTTACACCCTCAATAAACTAGGTTTCAATGGAACATATCTCAAAATAATGAAAGCTATTTACGACAAACCCACAGGCAAATATCCTACTGAATGGGCAAAAACTGGAAGCATTCCCTTTGAAATCTGGCACTAGACAAGGATGCCCTCTCTCACCACTCCTATTCAATATAGTATTGGAAGTTCTAGCCAGAGCAATCAGGCAAGAAAAAGAAATAAAGTGTATTCAATTAGGAAAGGAGGAAGTCAAATTGTCTCTATTTGCAGATGACATGATTGTATAAGACCCCATTGTCTCAGCCCCAAATCTCCTTAAGATGATTAGCAACTTCAGCAAAGTCTCAGCATACAAAATCAATGTGAAGAAATCACAAGCATTCCTATACTCCAATAACAGACTAACAGAGAGCCAAATCATTAGCCAACTCCATTCACAATTGCTACAAAGAGAATAAAATACCTACGAATACAAATATCAAAGGAT